ATCACCCACCCTGGGCCCCTCTTCGCACACCCAGGTGCCATCCCCTCCCCGTGGTGTGTCAGAGCAGCCGGCAGTGAGTGCTGAGCCCTGTCCTGTCCTGTCCTGGTGCTGCTGGAATCCTTGTCATTACACTGACCCCCTAAATGGAGTCTCAGGTGCCACTGGACCCCCGCGCTCGTGACTCAGGCCCCGTGTTCAGTGGGGTTGCTCCTGAAATTATCGAGGACACGCTGATCCACTTGGCCACGGAGAATGAGCAGTACCTGAGTGAGCTGCCGGAGCAGGCTGGGTACTTCAGAGAGACACGGATCGTGGGTGAGACAGCAGCTCCTGGGGTGGGTGACAGCTGTACAATGAGCTTCAGGAGACTAAAATGAGTGATGGCTGTGCTTTTTGCAGAGTTTATATTCCTTTTGTCTGAAAAATGGCACTTGGATCTGTCGACAAGGTACCAGGCAGTGGAGTTACTTGAAAGGTAATAAGAGTCCTAAACACTCAGCAYATTTSCCATTYTCTGATGTGGTTRTATTGCCCATTCCTTGTCCCATTTTGTCCCCCCTCACCCAAATCACACATGGCTAATGTGTGTGTTAAGAGCTTTGTCTCTTCATTCATTTAGTCCAAATTATTAGTTCTATGTTTACTCTTAAGTATATGTGCAATTGCCTTTCTTCCTTTTTCTCAGCAGACAGAACTGAGCAGTTGTGGGTTTTGTAGGTTYATGATCAAGCAGGTAGAACAGATGTGTGAGAGCAGAGGGAACTCTAAAGATCGTGCCCAAGGGCAGGGGAACAGCTGGAGCTCTGTGAGGGATCAGATAGCCAACACCTTTGTCCTGCGCCTCGTGTCGTGCATTCAGCTCGCCAGCAAACTCTCCCTGCACTACAGCGTAAGCCTGTCCTTGCTTTAGCAGTGTGCTTAACTCTGCAGTGTATTCATCTCCCTTAAAAATAGATTTCCTTTTTGAAAGGCAGCAGTGATAATGAAATGCCAAGGATGTCACGTTCCCTTTAGGGCAGTAACGATTTGCCGRGAAATGTTCCCAGTGATGGGGAGAAAAATTGCACAAAAATCTTGGGGTTGTCAAAAATTGTGTTTACAGGGGCTCACACCTGTCTGGGGATGGTTTATTGAGTYGAGGAAAGCTGTGGGAAAGGTCTGAGCAGAATTTCTTGTGCCAGTTCAAAGGACAAATGGGTGAGCTGCAGCCTCGTGCTCAGCAGGAGAGAGGTGATAGCACACTTTGTTCCTACCAAGTGCCTTATTGCCTGGAAGACCTTTTGTTTCTTTTTTCCCTCTTCAGAGAGTGACCAGTGACACAGCTTTAAAATTCCTGCAATCCTTAAAATACTCCTACACTAAGCAGGAGTTGCTGGAGTCAGAGCTTGCTGTTTTAAACACTCTGCACTTCCACATCAATGTGTCAACTCCGCTGACCTACGTGGAATTGCTTCTGGAGGTTCTAGGTGAGAGCATCAGTCAGGGACAAGGGGAAGGAGGTTTTTTAGTAGGGTCATAGAACTGTTGCTGATCTGAACCAAAACATTTCCTATTACAGATTTTTGCACARGCAACTGTTCAGTTTGTCCAGGGCTTCACTTTTCAGATGAGAAGTTTGTCCTTTGTAGAATGTGATGAATGTTGTTGGGACAGCCAGTCATGACTAATTCAGTAAAATATGAAGAGTTTAAAGCCCCCAAAMCTGGTGCAAGGCTGCATTTTCTACAGCCACTCACCATTTTCTTGGCCCAGGTCTGACAACCCGAATTTCAGAGTGAAACTCTCTTGAGGCTGAGGGATTCTATGGCATTCAGAGTTTTCCTCAGAATTCTGTGTCTCCCTTGTGGCACCTAACACTTCAAATTCAATTTAATGACCAAAACGTGGGACTTACAATGTGATTACAGTGTGATCTCTGCCAGGATACAACGGCTGCTTGCTTCCTGTGAAACCCTTGCACCAGCTGTGTGTGCAGCTCCTGGACTTCTGCTACCTGACCAGAGAGACCATCTATGACACTTTGCTGAAGGTTGCCATCGAAAACTCCACACCAAGCAAACTGCAGATGTAAGGGTCTTACSTGACAATGCCTTACAACAACCCTTTGAAATTAAAACCTTAAAAAAAGCTAGTAAATAGTAGCATAATTCCTATTATGCCATTTTGGGGGCATGTTTAAGAAAAAAAAAACCCTAATTTGGGGGGCATTAATTGTTATTTCTTAATACACCAATTCAACCATGCTTCTCCACAGCTGCTTCACAGAAAAGGAAAGTGTTTCACTTGGTTTTCAAAGTCCAGCACTGTCAGCTCCAGCCTGTGGTGTTGGGCTTTGGTTGGTCTGAATAAACCAACATGTCCTGGGCATTGGTAACTACAGCAGCAGATGCTTTTGAGCTATGAAGCAGAATTCTAACCTGAACTTTTCCTTCTGCAGAGCCAAGTTTTTAACAGTGAAGGAAGATTCCATGCTCTTGGCCGTTGGAATCATCAGTACAGGTGTGTTCATCCTGAGCCCCGGGCACTGGGAGCAGGTACAGTGGCTGCTGAACATGTTGGCTCTACGGGAATKCAATGCCAAGGTGGTTTATCTGTTTCAGCACAGCAAGGAAACAGGAGGGGCTGCACTGGGAGTGGCATGGGGAAGGGCCACCTCTGTGTTTTTAGCAGAAATCATGTGGCCTGTGTCAGAGGGGGCAGTTCTGTGTGCAGCTTGTGCTGGTGTGTCCTTGCCTTCAGTGCGTCACAGCCAGAACAAACCCCCCCAGGCAATGTTTTACTGGCAGGTAGAGAAGCAATCTCATGAGACAACTCCTTGTAAAATGTGCCCATGTAGCAGTTCCTTTTGTTAGTCTGTAAATCCATGGCCTTTAGGTATTGTATCTTTTTTTTTTTTTTTCAGACTGTGGAACATTTAAATGCCATCACTGGCATTACTCAACAAAGTATTCTGGAGTTCTCCTATGCTGTGCTGAGCTGTGTAGTTGGCAGCACCACACCCAAACAGCACCACGGGAACTGTGCAACCAAATCTTCCAAGGAGAGAATTCTGCCTCAAAAATAGAACCACCTTGTTGGTCCAGTCTCCAGTCACTGGTGCAGCAGCAGCAGCAGCTGTCACACTGCTGCCAACAGTCAGTCCCTCCTCTGTGACACTGCCCAGGCACCCAGCACAGCTCAGGGTTACCTGTGGTTCTGAGCACCAGGGATTCTGGAACAGCCTGTCAGTCACGTGTTAATTAGCAAAGCTCATCATGATAGGCATCACACTCATGCTCTGAAGGGGGCCCCAACAGCACCATAGTGTTTAGAAATGCCCCAAAAGCTTTAGTGTAAGAGCTGCATCTTTTAAGTTGGGAATCTAAGTTCCCTTTAACCAAAGAGATCCCTCAGAGCAGTCGTGTTTGAAAGGTGCTGCCATGCCTGGTGCTGGGGATTGCTGGGACCAGCTCTCACMCCCACATTACAAATGGGGCTGCACTGTCTCCTCTTGCTGCTTTGCTAAAATCCCTGTCTCAGCTGCCTGTGCTGTTCCCTCTGCCAGCACTTGGACCYCGTTTGCTCTTGCCTTAGCACAGCCAGCCCTGAGCAGCATTTGATGAGGACAGAATTGTGCCAGGGCTGTGACTGTCACCACAGCCCTTTGAGTGCCAGGGGGTTGCCTGTGTGAGGCACTGCTGGCTGAAAACACTTGAAGTGTGGARTATTTTTATTGTTTTCTTTTGCAGCCGGTTCCTGCACAGGACTGCACGAGAGATTACAGGGTTTTAAATAGTATCAAACCTTGTTAAATTCTGTAGCAGGAAGAAGTGCTGCTAGGACTTAGAAAATACTTTATTTCAAACTGCAGTTACTCTTCAATGACCAAGCAGAGTTCTGGGAGTTTTTCAACATTATTTCCCTGTGTTTGTAAGGTTTTGCTTTTCCWGCCTTCTGTTAGCTGTAACAGAGCAGTGTCAAACTCACAGGTTTTCTGAAGGTTGACAATGATTTGCGTGCGTGGCCATAAACTCCAAAAGTACCAGCTTAGCATCCGTTTAATAACTGTGTTTTATTCTGTTCAACTCAACAATACAACTTTGCATATTGCTTTTCTATAAACTACATGTAATAATGGTATTTGAAATAAAGTGTCTTGTGGATTTTTTGGTATCGTAAACATTTTGTACTGGTTAATATTAAAAGACATCTTAATTTGCCTTTCTCTGACACAACGCAGACACTCCACAGCTGCCAGGCCAAGTTCTGACCAGTTACTTGTTATAGAATTGGGATGAGACCCAGGCAAGGCCCCATTTCAGGTTAGTTAACATAAATTTTAGTGCTTTTGTCCATTGCTCTTCAGAGTTAAATTGTGTTTTAATTGAGTAAGAGCCTCCACTGCCACCTGTGTCTTCAATCTTTCCTTTCTCCACGTCCATCCTGTATCACACACGAGGTTTAATTAGTACATTCCTACTGAAAATGTTTAATCTCAGCATGACATTAAGCACCAAATTTTAAATCTGACATTCATACTATCCTGTCAGAATACTTTGTTTTTAAAGAGAATCGAGCAAGCCTCAGGAGTTCACCCAAGGGGCTGGCTTTCAATTTCAATTAAACTAGCAAACACACACCATAAAGAATTCCAGATGGTTTCTGAAAGCCAGGACTGAAACAGCAAGCAGTGCTAGAAGCAGCATACAGGGATTAATTTGACAGTTATGTGGCAACACTCACCTGTAAGGCAAACAAAACCGTGTTTCACCTTTTTCCACTTCCTCTTTAAACTGCTGCACACAGTCCAGGAATGCCACCATGGCATGATCAAATTTATTGTCCCAGAAGAACCTCAAGCCTCCAGAGCAGTACAGGGGGAGCTCCTGGAAAAGAGGTTTGTATCAGGCACCCCAAGCACCTGTTTTTTACATTATTACTGCAGCTTTTTAACCTCGTGTGAAGTTTAAATGTATCATGGGATGCTGAGAAATGGTTTGTGGCACAGAGCGAGTGCCACTGTTTTTGTGCATGTGCCCACCATGTGGRGGTGCATGTTCCCAACTTCCAGCAATCCCAAATCATGCCATCTACCTGCCAATCACCCCAAAGCATGCCATCTGCCTCTGGCCAGATGTGTCATTCAACAGTGCTGTCACTTCGAACACCACTGGCTGGCAGCACCAGTGGCTCCACAGGATGTGGAGTGAGATGTTACATGCTGGAGGAGCTGGGGCAGACCCATATGAACACGGGACTCCATATTCATAGAGACCAAGCTTGTTTCCTGCATCCCCTGCATGACCAGGGCTCAAGATCAATGTCCCATGGTTTGTGTGGGATCTCTTACCTTGGATTTATCCGTGAGGGACTCCAGATACGAGTGGTTGCCATAGGGGACAAGACGRTATCTGAAAAAAAGAGACAGAATTCACAGGCATCCGAGTCTGCATGTCTTTCTCTGGGCTGTCAGTGAAGTGTGTGTGGTATTTSATGTACCTCTGAAACGTCAGGCCCATTTTGTTGGCCAGGGCATGCAGCAGCAGCACRGTCTGCCCCCAGGCAGCGTTGATCTCGTTCCATTCCACAGGAACGCTGGGGAGACGGCCAAGCCTGAAGTTATTTATTGTGCCAAACTGCCCGCTGTGCCTGTGATAAGGAGAATTATAAATAAGTGTGCTGGGCTGGGAACAACTCAGGAACAGCTCCTGGCCTGATAACCAAACAGGGGCTGTGTCCCAACAGCACAGCACACACAGTGCCAGCACACACATGGAGAGTTTGCACCTATTCTTAACAAGCCTCTGTAAATACCAAACACTTGTTCTCTTCCTGTCATAAAAACACAACAAAAACCCCTAGCCAGCCCCTCTAAGCTACCTGCTTTGTGAAGCCAAATGCCAGTGTCACTGCTGGCTGGCACAGGGGTTYCCAGTGTGTTACCAGGGCTGGTGAAAGAACCATTTCCCAGTCCCACGGCCTGGCACACCTTACTCAGCTGCCWCTCCTAGGGRAAGGCATYCATTGCTYTGCTGRGAGGTAACTGTGAGCTGCYTTACACCTTTCCTGTTGAATGCAGTGACTTAAACAGCMTCACRCTGMAGATTYCAARAMAATAKATATSATATTGCAGTGTCTACRTTACCAGATGTGAAAGGTTGCGTTGAACACGTTGGTTTTCTTTAATTTATCCAGCTGCATCTGGGCATAGCGCATTTGGTTGTCCACACTTTTCAGCTCATCATCYAGCTCCAGCTGTTGCCTCTTGAACTCACAGTATTCCTTCTGATACCTTTGAGCAAAAGCAAAAGCAAGAAGCTGAGTGCCAACTTCTGAATCAGTGACAGCTCCATGAGTTGGTTTGATCTGGCCACCTTTTCTTTTGCAAAGAATGAACCACAGGTGTTTGGGCACATTTGCAGGTTTCTGATGGTACAATCTCATTTATCTGCTGCCTCTAACCCCCACCACAAATTCACTCACTGAGCCTCCTCCTGTTCCAGCCGCTCAGCCTCTGCCCTGACTTTCTCAAAGTCCTCAGCCACAATCTTGCGGTTCTTCTCAACATCCTCCAGCTCCTGAATCAGCTGCTCTTCCTCCAGTGCCAGCTCTTTCAGCTCTGTCTGCAGCTTCTCCTTATCATCCTCGTTCATTTGTTCCAGTATCTCCAGACATCTCCTAAAGGAGAACAACAGGATTACCAAAACAGGGATCCTGGTAAGTCCTGCACTGCCACTTCTCTCTGTGCTGATCGTGCTTCGAACCACAGCAGCTCTCTCTTGGGTCATCTCTGGATCACTCACTTGTAGTTCTGGCACTCGTTCTCCGTGATGTTGAGCTGTGTGTCCAGCTGGTCCAGCAGAGTGTCCGTGCATTCCTCACACAGTGGGTGATCCACGTCCGTCTGCCCTGACATGATGTCAAACAGGTCGCCAGTGACCTGGAGGAAGAGCTCACATTAGTGCAAGTGAAACCACAGGCAGCTGCCTACTGCCTTTCAGCAGCTTCAGTTTGCAGAAGTTTCCTTGGCAGGTCAAATATTGGTTAAAATAATCTCTCTTTACCAAACTACTCACCAACCAAACCCCCGGAAGGCAAATACTGTGGGAAACTTTGCAGTTTAGTTTTGCAGAGCATCAAGAAAAACTGATGCTCCATTCCCCAGGATCTGAGTTTACCAGCTCGTGACCCACTTGCCTTCAGTCTCCGGCTGAGGTTTTCCATSGTGCCACCATCCGATGCCTCTCCGATCAGGGTGAAACTGTTGGCGCTTTCTGTTGACATCATTCTTGGAAAAAAATGTTACTCGGATGAGTGCTAAGGGCCGTGGGGAGGCAGATCAAGCACCACACCTGAACCTGGGGCTGGGTCATGGAAAAGGGAGAGCAGGAGGATAGGACAGCGTGTGTTTTGTGGGCTCTGTTGGGTTTGTGCTGACCCACAGCTAAGCAGCAGTGCCCCAAGGACARTGTTCAAACTGCCAAAGAGGGCCACAGGGATCCCGCAAGGGAAACTCCAAGGGGTTACAGTGATCCCTGTATGGGGGGAGCTTTCTCAGGTTCCGAGCTGCGGCGGCCGTACCTGGCGGGCGGGATGAACCTCCTGGATACGCCATCCTGCCGGTTCTCCGCGAAGGCTTCCTGAGGGCAAGGAACCATCGTTACCGGCAGCCCCCGGGGAGCTGCTGCTGCTCCCCACCGCAGCCGGTCTCACCGCACCTCCGTCAGGGCGCTGTCCTCTTCGTGCAGGTCCCCGGGCCTGGCAGGGGGGGCGGTCACCAGCGGAGCTGTGAGGGAGAAGGCGTCAGCCGGGCCCAGGCCTGGGCCCACACCCCAGCGCCGTCCCCCCCAGCCCGCCGCGCCCCGSTACCGGTGAGCTCCTGGATAGTGAGGCGGTCAAGCACTTTGAAGGAGGTGTCGAGCTTGAGCGGCTGGCAGCAGCGCTGGCACACGAAGCTGACGTGCGCGGTGCCGCTGCCCGACCGCGCTCCCTCCATCGCGCCGCCCGAGCGCTCCCCGCCATCGCCGCGCGCCGGACGTGACGCAGCAGCTGGGGCGCGGTCCTGGCAGGGGTGCGCGGTGCCGCCCGCGCCATTTTGTGCGTCCCCGCCCAGCCCCGGGCGAGCGGCTTTGGAGCGGACAGGACCCGGCGGCGCGTGCGCGTGCGCGTGGGGGGGGGGGG